TGTATATGTCATCACATGTAAAAATGTCTCAGTTTTTCTTTTCTCTCTCTCTCTCTCTCTTCGATAACTGATCTGTTTATGACTACAATTTTTTTTTCTTTTCACGTTTACTCTTCCTTTCTGTATGTAAATCTTCATTTTATTATTAGTCAATTTGAAGTCAATATTTTGTTGTATTATGATCCAATGTATAAACTGTATTATTTAATTGATGAAAACGTCGAAAGTGATCATCATTTCAAAATCTTTTTTTCATAACTGTAACTTAATACTTTAGTGTTAACCATATACTGGAACTTTCTATATTAAGAGAGGTTAACAGTTGAACTTTCAATACTTTATGATAGTGTGTCATAATCTTTGAAAAATAGCGTAAGATATTTATGAAAAAGTTTAAATAGATATAAAAGGTCTTTAATAATATTGATAGAATCCTCAAGTTCAAACTAGTAATATTTTCTAACAAATTATCATTTCAATAAGTAATATAATTAAACTGTTACATACATTGAAATTAATCATTATAAACTTTTTACATATTAGTAAGCAACTATTCGAAATAACATTATCTCAGTGTAAAACACATAGATCTTTTTGTTTACAAACTCTTTAAATGTTAACTAAATTAATCTTATTGGTATATTTTGAAGAGTTACACTTTGATTATTAGTGTTCACTATTTCTGAGAAGTCACTATTATTATTATTATTATTATTAGTAGTAGTAGTAGTAGTGTGGTGCGTGCTACTTATATTGATATAAGTAGTATATGGCGCGAGTCAGGAATGTAATATCTGGTAGCAGAAGATGAGGAAGAGCAGGAAACGAAGAGCGGGAATAGAAAGCAATCAGTATGGAAATGCAAGGACAACGAATTTTGAGACAATTATTGAACATTTTTCAAATTAAGTATTATAGTATGGTTTTTCTATTTTACCAAGTAACTCTGTAATTTTGCGCTAAATACAATTCGATTGTCCCCACCCGTGTTCTTTTCACTACAGTAGTAGTAGTAATTCAAAAATATTTGTTTTACTTCCTTGTGGTGTCATTAAACTAGTTGCAATTCATTAGTTTCACAGTTACATCTATTTTATTTGAATAAATATACTTGCGCTAATATATATATATATATATATATATATATATATATATATATATATATATATATATATATAGTTAGTTAGTTAGTTAGTTAGTTAGTTAGTTCCTTTTCAATGAGAGAGTTCGATTTTAATTAATCGCTTTAATATTATACGATTTTAACTTTATTCTGAATTTGATTGGCCAAAATAATTTCATCAAATGAAAATACTATTTATTCAGCTATTCGATTATAAACAGAAAATATTAGTGAAAGATAATCTACATTATACGATAAAATTAACTAGAGAATTGTCTAAAGGTTGAAAGTACTTAAGAATCGTTTAATTACCAGTTAATAATCCTTCAATAGTAGCAATTTCACGTGTTAATAAATATAAATTTCTCTGGTAGAATAGTTATTGCAACTCCCACTATGTGGGATGATCTAATACTTTACCTTTTTCAACTTTAATGAGTTGGCAGAAATAGCGCAAGTGCAAACTAATATCATTTAGTAGGTGATTAAAGCACTCTTTACATGTAAATTCATGAGCAACACTTGTATACGTATATATGCATATATATATTGGTATTTTTGAATACGAAGGAACAGTAAAGATAAAAGGAAAGTACACACACGTTTATATCAATTTAAAATGTTAAAACAAATAATTCAAATTGCATAAAACGCTAGACTAGAATTTTCCGAAACAATATATCACATAAGTTTAAGTTCTTTTGCAGAACCTAACTACATAAATAATAAATAGTATTATAAAGTTGATTTTTGAATGATAGTAAAATGAATGTTAAAAATACGGAATTACTTACTTATGCCATTTTACCCTACATGGAGGAGCATAGGCCGCTCATCAGCATTCTCCATTCAACTCTGTCATCAGCAATCCTCTCTAGTTCTTTTCAGTTGCTATTCATCTTTTTCATGTCTGCTTCAGAATTCCGACAAAGTGTGTTCTTTGGCCTTCCTCTTTCTCGTTTCCCCTTACGATAACAGGTAAGCGCTTGTCTCATCATACACTTTGATAATTTCACCAGTGTATGTCCTATCTAATTCCAACGTCGTTCCCTAATTTCCTCTTCAGATAAAATCTGATTTGTTCTCTACCATAATAGGATGTTGCTGATATCAGACCAATGGATGTCAAGTATCTTGTGTAGACGATTGTTCATAAATATCTCTTCATTTTTGACGATATTTATGGTAGTACTCCACGTTTCAGCTCCGTACAGTAGAACTGTTCATATTGAAAATACTGACTCTGATATTGCTTGGTAGTTGTTTTGAGCTCCATACATTCTTCAATTGGAGGAATAGGAAACGTGAATTTGCAGATCTATAACAAAATACTTACAAACTAATGAATTATATTCTTCCCGGTCGCCACATGATCGATTCATTTATTCTTGCATCAAGTACCTATAACTGATACAATAAAATCACTGAGGTATAATAAAAAATAACCTAATATGAATAGTTTGTTTGGAACATGTTCAAATAATGATAAATATTTTATTAGAGCCATAATTAATTGAAATCATAAATAAATAACTTTTTAAAGTTACTAATAACCACCTGATAATTTACGTATAAAAACGACTAATCAAGTGTTTGATCATTTTGAATCCATTGTGGTGTATGCTACCGATGTCAACCTATATAAGTAATATGTATCATTAATTAAAAGTGAAATATCTGACGGTAGAAGGTTAAGAAAATTAAATAAAAGAGAACAAGAACAGAGAATGACTGATGTGGGAACGAAGGAACAATGAAATCTAAAACGATTGATTGACATTTACCAAATAAATTTTTATTCAAATACATTCAGTTGTCCCCACTGGTGTTCTCGTTTACTAAACTAAAATCATTTGTTTTTTCAACAGGATTCATATTATTTAAATGATAATCGATAACAGTTTAAGTGGAAAAAAAGGAAAATGTTATGTAATCGAATGTTATCAGTTAACATTATAATAAAACGTTTCTAAAGTCATTCAAATAGAATGTCAACTTAAAAATAACTCAATAATAACACTGCCATATTTAATTTATTGTTATTTTACTTTTTTTTCTTACTAACCAATATTGATAAGAACACTAGTAAAGTATCATTATTTGTTATTTGAAACAGTTAATAATCAGATTTTAAACCTTCATTAAAAATTTGTAGTATTTTAATGAATAACATTTAATATCAGGAGTTTTTTTGGATATTAAAGTAATTTTAATAGTTGAGATCATGATTCATTTGAAGCTAGACCATTAAGGAAAACCTGGAAACACTGGACAGCCGTTTCATCCTGTTGTGGGACTGCCCAGAAGTACGCATCCACGATGATGGATGTGCCTGTTCAATTTCGTGGATTGATTAAAGTTAGACATTAACACCGTTGGATGATGGCTCAGTGATCTAGTGGTTAAGCGTTCGCGCGCGAGACCAAAAGGTCCTAGGTTCGAATCTCGCGAGGAGGGATCTTGAATGTGCGCTGCTGAGGAGTCCCACAATAGGAAGAGACGGCCATCCAGTGCTTCCAGGTTTTCCATGGTGGTCTAGATTCAATTGACTCATGATCTTAACTATTAGAATAACATCTACTTGATTTTAATATAAAGCAAATATAAACTAACAACAATCAATCATGATCATTTTTCCTAATGTTAAATAAATAAACTTAAAAATTGTAAATCATGAAATTTTAATTGAATGATAATAGTATGTGCTCTTCCCTTGAATGGAAAGTTTCAAAATATTTTGTTTTAGAAATCCTGATGCTACATCATTAAAAAACAACTATTTTATTCATTTCAAACGTTTAATTATGCTACAAATTATTACTAATGCACTATGGAAATTGATACTCAACATCTATTAGTCGGTAATAGCCTTCTGTGAGATAAAACAAACCAACTTCCAGATGAAGAGGAAATTAGAAAAAGATGATGGAAATGGATAGGACATATATTACGCAAATCATCAAACTGCATCATGAGACAAACCCTAACTTGGAATCCTAAAGGGAAGCGAGAGAAAGGGAGGCCAAAGAACACATTACGTCGGAAAATAGAATCAGATATGAAAGAGATGAGTAACAACTGGAAAGAGCTGGAAAGGATTTCCAAGGACAGGGTTGGATGGAGAGTGCTGGTGAGTGGCCTATACTCCTTCACGAGGAGTAACAGACGTAAGTATTATGGAAATTAAATTTTCAAAAATAAACTGAATATCTGTGAACAATTTATTTCAGTATATATATATAAATGTCGGAATTCAAGAACATAACATCCTTATACTCCAGTACTTTCAATCACTTTTAAGTATAATATACTACTTTGAAAGTTTTAACAACTTTACTCATTATTATCACCTTTTAAAAGAAAACATTATAAGGAACAATCATACATTTACACTATTTCATAATGAAAAATGATGAGTTATACCAAGTATAAAAAAATAACCAATAAATGAATCTATATTAGAATTTTTAGGCAAAAAGAGAAAACAAAATGGTAATTAGAAAAAAGGAAGTATTCATAAAGATGGAAAATCTTTAAAACAATAATAATAAATAATCATATTGTTAAATATTAAAGTATAAAAATTTAAAAGTAAGGGCAATTAGATTCTTTTCAAATAAACAAGAAATACTGACTGAAATTGAACATTGAACATTCTGATATCTATTACTAATGATTTTAGAAAATTAAATCGATACTATCTGAAAAGATAATTACATCATAGGTGAGTAGGAAAAAGAAATAGGAATAACATTGAAACCTAATCTAAATATGAGTTTGTTAATTTGAATGAATAAATAAGGAAATAAAATAAATTAATACTGATTATTCTTATAATCCATGATATAATGTACAGTGAAGTAATCACAACTGTTATACAATGTACGATAAGATTTGATTTGATCCATTAGAGGAAAAATAAAGAACGAAACATCTTTTTTTCTTCATTACATCAATTCACCGTACCACATATAGGTAATACAGAGTTAATTGCTATGAAATACAGTCACAATGAGGAAAACAATCTGTGTGATAAATCAAAATGAAGGATGTATGTGCATCTATGTATCTATATCTGTTAATTAACACAAGAATATAAGATTATCTAGATATTTTTGTTTGATATTGTTGTTCATTTTGGAAATGTTTGTCATGAAGTTCTTCCTTACAATGAAAACTTAATTGTTTACTATATTCCAATTGATAAGATTTTTGTTGACGTTTCTGGTAATATTGATCATGGGGTTGATGATACTGGTAATGATGATGATGATGACGACGATGACGGTGAGTACGATAATGTTGATAATAATAAAGACTATGAGGAGAGCAACGACCACTGCAATGAGAAAAATCAATATATCCTAGAGGAAAGTCCAAGTATGAGTAACAAGGTAAGTCAGATAAATCATAGTTATAATGATTATTATTATTATTATTGTTATTAGTAATATTGTTATTCTGACTGTTGATGAATCTATGATTACGATTATTATTTACTATAATATTAGCATTACTGTTTGTACCAATATTCATATTATTGATATTATTATTATCATTATGATTAATTCTTCTCTTTTTATTACAATTACATAATATTTTTGAACAGATATTTGTAATTAATTTATATAATGTTTGTCTAAATACTGGTAAAAATGCCCAATATAAAAAAAAATCAAATGCATGATTAAATGAATCAACAGAACTAAATAATTTTGATAATTGTATAATTTTATATGCATAAATTGGATAAATTAATTCATAATTATTAAAATGTACTTTTTGTCGTAATATCATTAATGCAACTAATGGAATTGATAAACAAGTAAACATAATACTTATAGCTAAATGAGTAATCACTTTACTTAATTCACTATATGATTGTTTATCATAATAACCATTTAATTTTGAACGTTTTATAGTTGATTTTAATTTACATGATATTAAAATATTCATTATAAAAATTAAAATAGCCGGTAATATTGTAACACCAATAATATATAAATATAATACATATTTTACTCCACCAGCTATTGGATCAATATATTGACAATTAGATTTTTCTATTGAATCATCTTTTAAATCAGCATAAATTAAATGTGGTATATTTAATAGAAAACAAATTATATAAATTATAAATATACATAATTTAGCTATACGTAAATCTAATATTTGTTCAATTTGTTTAGCACAATATATTGAACATACACGATCTATACTAAATAACATAAGTATAAATGATGCAATTAATGCAGATACATCAGATAAATATGTTAATAATTTACATGTAAATGATGAATATGAATCAACTTGATACCAAATATAACAATTAGTTGCCCATTTTAAACCACGACCTAAAAAATCATCAATTAATGTATTTACAATTAATTGTATTAAATGTGCTAATGCCATCCATATTGCATATAAATTAAATCGACATGTTTGTTGTTTTTCTAATAAATTAAATATAATAATTACAAAAATATTTGCTGGTATACCAATAAATGCAAGTAAAGGTGATATATATGCACGAAAATTATATACCATAATTTCTTCATTTGTTAATGATTTTAAACAATCCGATGGATAATTAATTAATGATTTCATGATTATAATTTAATAGAATATAAAATGAATATTTAAATAATCAACATTATTATATTGACATTATTAATGAATATCAAGAAATTTTATATTTATATAGTAAATGAAAAAGAAAAAAAAAGGTTTTTTTTTATTGGTTAAAAAAAATAAATAAATAAAACGATTAGAAATGTGATTGGTGGATTTTAGTTGTTAAGAGAAATACCATTATTTGTATGATAAATATATAAACTGAGTATATTTTATAAAGAATATTTTCAATCTATATTATTGTAGATTTTAATGTTTAATAAATAAACTAAGAGACTAACCTCTTTATTATAATTGTAAATTGAACAATAACTATTTGAAAATGAAACCAACGTATTTATGATTTTAAAATTAATCTTCTAGATGACACTAGTTGAATTTGTTTAACATATTAAAAACAATATGATATGGTGAATAGAATTATCTTACGCTACAATTTAATGTTAAAATTACAGTTTTACACTAAGCTACTAATTCTTATTCATTATCTTTGGAAAGAATTAATAAAGATTTTTCTCTTTTTATGTGCTGTTTGCTTGAAATTTAATTAAATACTGTCATCAAGTTGTTATGTGCTTCAGTGAACGATTATAATTGCGATCTAAAGATGTACTTTGAGGAGATCTATATTTATTTAACAGAACATACAAATAACTGCCATCTTAATTAGGCTAAGAAGTGTTTTATTCGTTTCTCAAACAATGGTGATAACGTATAAAAATCTACAGATAAATTTAATAATAAGTCGCAGAATCTTTAAAGTTACTTTAAAACATTAAACGAAATAAATTATGTGTGGAAATGAGTCTGAAATTGCCTCAAACATGATGAAGAGGCAATGTAATTATAAACTAAATATGAGACTTCTCAGTAGTAGCAAGCAATGTTTGATGGGATGAGAAAGCAGATGGAAAAAAATCTTAGTTTATTAAGGAGAATGAGCCGGATAAGACTAGATAAAATATGCCCTTAGTAACTTTTTAAAACAAGCAAGTGAAACGCTTAGAGGAGCACTGAAAAAAACGTTCAGCCGGGTTTCAAATATATTCTAGTTACACACAACCTAGCCGTCATCATTTGAAAAGGCTGCAAAAGCGTTGAACTGTACAAAATGACTACATTTTAATAGATGAATGGATGCAATCGGCTGGAAACCTTGAACATAAGTTTCTTGCTGATTGGTATTCATCAAAAAGGTGTACAAGCGACTCTTATTACTAATATGTGATCGCTCAATGTAAGCTTGTGCTCGTTCTGTCACTCTCTTAGACTTACTTCAGATTTTTAATCCAAATAACCCTGTAGTGACATTGAATTAAACGCCCTATTTATTTAGTCAAGGATGTCATCGTTAACAATAGTAAAAGTATGCTAAAATGAAGGTGAATTTTATTTGAACGAAATAAGCTTAACAAATATCTCACATTATTAATACTAAGAGTCCTAACAGTTCAACATTTATTTTTTTTAAATCTTACCAACTTTTAATTGCGCATCATACTAGTAAATTTTTAATTTCATTAATTACACTTTTCCTCCAGCTGATAATATAAACTTCATTGATTTTCGTCTTAATGACAATAAATGCAAAATAAATGAGAGCTAGAGTTTCACTCATGTAATAATGACTAATTGGAGTGAGAAAAATGTTTCTACGACTAATTTATCACTGATTATCTTAAAAGTAGTATATTCAGTTAGCATTTAGTAAGGTGACCAAATAAGTTTGATTTAATTGAAAGATAGTAATCAAAGTGTAGAATACAAAATAAAACAAAAAATGCATAATACTTGAAATTTATATAGAACAAAAGACTGGTTAAGTAGTAAAAGGCAGATGAATAAAACTGGGAAAAAAAAGCCTTTTAATAAGTTTTATGAAAATATTTCTAATATTATTTGTAAGAAGAACGTTCAAATTTACGATAACATATTGGTGTAGGTTTTGTGATACTTGAATGATCTAAATATAAATTAGTTGAAAATTTTCGTTAAGTTGGGTTGGTTAGATAAAATTTGGTGGCCAAAACCATCAAAGAAATAAGTAGTCTGGAACTATTATCAAGTTAGTAGTCAGTATGATTGTGCAATGATATAGTGATCGAAAAATTCCCTTTATTGTCGTGGTACGAAATCTAATGTTATACAGTGTTGTTATTGGATAATTATTTAGCACCCAGTGTTAAGTTTAAGTTTAAACACATACATAGATTTGAGTTGCTTCTTCAATCAAATGATTTTAAAATGAGTTGATAACTCCAAGAAATCGGTCACAGGACTTTGAAAAATATATCTGCTGTAAATAATACAAAAATCATTTATTAATACTGTACTTTCATCTATGTACTATACATGATAACTGCAGCACTTCTTAAAAGTAGTTGATTTCTACAGTTAACCGAACAGTTAATAGTTCAACTTGAATGAACCATAATTTGTAATCTTATTTGATATTGTATTAAGGAAGGAAATTAGCCCGATAGAACAGTAAGTATGAAAAAACTGTCATTAGTTTTTCTTGGAGTCCAAAAGATTATTAAACAGAACATAGATTTATATACAGCAAAGATAGTTCATGAAACTGAATTATGGTTGCCTACTGAATAATTTAACACGTTAGCGGAATTAGTAGTAGTCCGATTGGTCTTAAGTAATTCTGCACGGCTACAGAAATGATATATAGGTAAATTATGAATTCTAAGTGACTCGGCAACGCGTGTTCTATGTTGTGAAGTTAGGTGGTAAGAGGTATTCGATAAACAACGATGGACCTAGGTTTCATGCTAGTTGGCGCTTGACCACAAGATGTACTGGTAATCTTAAGGGAAATGATACTCCGCAGTAAATTTGAACACTCATCATGGACTGTGAATTTGGGTGAAGTGAGTTCAATCCACCAAAAAGCATCAATTAAAAGTGCATCATATCAACAATCAACCAGTAAAAAACATGGACCCTAGGGTTCTCTGTAGACTACCTCCAAACACCTCATATTAATAGCAATATTGACAGTACGAACATTTTGAGAGCAAACAAATAAAATCCAATAACAAAACTTTTTTACATTCAATTTAGATCGTATTGTTGATATTTCGTTCAGTGAGTAAAAGAGATTTTGCATTCAAATTATTGTTTTAGTCCCCAAAGTTGAATTTTGTAATACATTAAAATGATGAGTACTCGACAGACGTTCTATTCAAGATTAAGACGATATAACGCTGTACACCTTCAACACAAAATCGAATTAAAATCACCTCCAAACTCCACGTAGATCCGCATAAAGCTGACTCAAATTAATGGTAGTCGTATCGTCAATAATGACTAGCCACACCATTGATGGGAAGTGGTGACCTACATAGTCAACCAAGTCAGTGATAAAACTGTAACTCGCGAGTAGTAACAGATGAGGCTCTGTTATTCCATGACGAATAAAATGACGTCAAGAATGTGCACTAGAATTTCAAAAGACCCATAATTACTGTGAAAATTGAACGTTCTGAGCATTCAGCGTTTCCGTGGTTGATGTCAGATCGTTATAAAGCGATTTCGTGCGATATTATTCACCCAAATACGTAGGAATTTCATAAATCAATTATCAAATCTTATTAAAAGTAGTTTTCATGGAACAAATATAGACAGTGATTTAGTTCGCTGATGAAGAAAATGCAGTATTTTGATAAGTTAAATCACGAACTGACTTTAGTTAAATCACCAATGAAATCCGTGAGGCACTGGAAAGCTATTTCAGCCGAGTATGGAGCTCAACAAAAGTGTGAACCCACAGCCCAATAACCGAGGACCTTTGACATCCACAACGAACTATTAAGGTCTAAATCACTGAACCGAAATTCAATGGTTTACATGTTTAATTTTAATCACTTCGCAGTATTACGCGACCATCTTTCATTTCCTACATATGTAATTATCACACACCCAATATGGTTGGACTCCACTAGTTACGGCTTCTCACCAGAACTCCCGGAATCGCATTTTGAAATTAGTGACTTGCAAGCATAGGATTGTTATTAGTATAGGGGTCTTTTGGAGATCGTTAGACGGATTCCGATTCTTGTGTCAAAAGGTTTTTTAACAACTGGAGGTCCTGGATCCGATCCCTGATGGCGGATTTGTGGATGGATACCGCAAGCGAGTTCCAGACTATGATGAAACAACCGTCTAGTGCTTCTTAGCTTTCAACAGTGATTTAACTAAGATCAATCCGTGATTTAAACAATGATAGTTCAATTCACTTGATATTGTTTTTACTTGAATCTTCCCATTGATGTTTTAGGACTGAAATTGATCAGTCTCTTATTGGCATATGTGCATACTGTGCGTATGCCTCGATATTGCCTTAAAAAACAAAAAATATCAAGTGAATTAAACTTCACCCCATTGCACAAGCAAGTGGCTATCAGGACTCAGTAGCTAAGTGGATAACGCGATGGCGTTTGAAGCGAACGGTACTGAGTTCGAGTCCCAGAGTGAACATCAACTCTGAGATGCAGGTACATCCAGCTGACGAGTCCCAAACAGGTCGAAACGTGCGTCCTAGATTCCACTGCTAGCCACTATCCATCTTTGCTTATAATGATAGTTTAAGTCTCTACAAAACCCCTTTACTTAAAAAATCTACATGTCCACTAGGTAATAACTTCAAAATACAATTCCGGGGATTCTAGTGCGAAGGCGTAACTGGTAGAGTTCAACCATATCGTGTGTGAAACACTTATACACCTTAGGAAATGGAGGATAGTCGTGCAATATCAAGAGGTGACTGAATTTAAAACTGTAACAAATAACATCCCATAATTATTCGCACTCTATATGGTATATTCTTACAGTTCTCTCTATTATATCAGCATAAATAAATTTATGTAATATATGTAAAATGAATAACCAAATAAAAACCAAGTCATATCAATCAAATTTATTCATAAGAAGGGAATAAATGAATAGATTTGTAACGAGAT